ATCTATTGTATCCAAGCCCTTGAAAGGCCACATGGCCGAACAAGAAGAAAATAAATGAAAAAAAAATGACGTTAGTAAGAAAGCAAAATTGATCACCTTAACACTAATCTACCGATCTCGTTAACTTACTCTTCAACCCACAATACTAAAACCCGTGTTTACTTCAAAAAAGTTCTAGTTTGACTGAGTATCTCATACGTAGATAGGAATTGAACACTAAGCAAACTGGCTGTCAAGAAAATAACGATAACTTCCTACTTCGGAATTTTACTTGTCTTCTTGTTACAAGTTATAGTGATAATCTGGCGCAAGTACTAAATGTGTTAGTCTAGTACAAAGCAATATTTGTGAGGTTTGTAGAAAAACATGAAACAATGTTTTAGTCTAATAATTTGGACCGGACTGCACTTTCAAAGCGTAGGGTATGACTTGATCCAGGTAGACTACGACTATGCCCTGACAAAGGAGAAATGTCTACATAGTCCAAACCTTGCTTTTTATACAACTTCTAATGATAATGTTAATGTTATTTATGAATAATACAATCTTAACATCCAGTGACGTCTCTAGGAAGCATTTGATGTGCTGATTTCCCTCGAGTATGACCGATAAGATTTTTAAGGCTGATAACACAGTGCTTTCGATTTCCTCATTAGAGATTCAGAGTATCCATTTCTATGATTTCGAGGAAACTTAAATAAAAAATAGACTCATGTGCCTTGATTAAATGCCACGTGTTCTTTGCAATTCATGTCCAATACAACAGAACATTGGCCAACACATCGATAAAAAATAATAAAATATCAATATTTTCTGAACCAAAAAATATTGGAAATTCTTATTCCGCATCATTGCTTCTGATGGCATTCTCAATATATAGGTAAGTTAAGGAGGATCGGCGAATATATATAGCTTTGACTAGCTTCTACGTTGATTGCTTCTGATAAGAACTAGCTGTTAATTTTATATTATGGATTCTTGAACATTTATTGATACCCCATCTCAATCAGGCTTTTGTCCATTTTCCCTGATCCATTGAGCAAATGATGAGATGGCCCCTTGTTTTGCCTTTGAACGTAAATGTAGCTTCACTATGCGCACGTTTTGTGGAACTCTCCTTTGGCTTGTAATGGTGGGAGAAGTAAGGGCGAGTTACTACTTTGTTAGCAATGCAGAAAAATCATACTTGCAATTCGTTTACCGATGCATGTTTTCTATGACTCGGAAATGAAAATGACTATTTTTCAAATATTGCCATTCTTACAATTTTTAAAATTTATTTTTATTTATTTATGTTAAACTTTTTGTCAACTATTTATAGTTAAAATGACAGGAAGAGATTCTGGAACTCAGAAAAACGTGCGCAGATAATCTTCTCCCTACGTCAATACAGTTTTTACTGTTTTTTGACTAAATAAATCCTCTTTCAATGCAAAAAAAGAACCAACAACTTGGTGTCCTACGATATTCCAATGATTTTCACATTTCATTGCGCGAAAGCCTTTTACAGCAGCAATAGTCAGGGGATGAAATTTACATTTGTGTTTATCTCAAGTGATTTTCTTTAAGTTTTTCTTCGAAGTCTAATATTTATTCGCATGGAAACGCCTACTTCTAAAACGGTATAGACATAAATTGCATATCGAAAAGTGCTAACATACCTTCCCAACTAAATGTTTTTAATAATAATGTTAATAATTATATTACTCTTACAGGAGAAATAAGAAATTATATTTATTTGGCTCGTAATAATTCATAAAATTAAAAAAAAAGTCTCCACTGTAGTCGTCTCAAAGTGACATTGCAGGTCTATAAATAGGGCTTTTGGAAATTCATAATATCTCAGGGAGGGATCCTGACTATTTCTTCAGTGTTTTTATTTTGCTAGGAAGTGGTGTTGCGATTATGATACTCTCGTTATTACAAATTGAAATTTTGGCGTTGTTTCATAATACTAATGTACAATGTGAAGAACGTAAACGTCACGTCATCTGTCTCTTAGGTTTCTCGTGGCACGGCTATATTCAAGCGATACATTCAAGAAAATTTAAAATATAATGTCCATGAATGCTTCCAGAATTCACTCCTTTTTATATTGTCTGCGTTACTGAACGATTCTTGAAGGAAATATTTAAGTTTCATTTATTGTGAAGACAAAATATTTGCATAAAACATTGCATCGCGTAATGTATAGAATGTTAAGGAACGCAAAATAATCTGCAATAATTTGAGCCTACTTCCTATCGTAGAAAAAGTTCATCACCCGCCAATCTCTCCCGCTGTGTCGGAATGCCCGCTTTCTTCCAAATTCCCTGTTTCGTCGTAGTGCGTGACTGCCCCGTTCCAGCCGCGGATATCACCTGGCGCGTTAGCGCATCAGCGGAGCAAAGATAGCGCGCGGAGGCCGCGGCGGCGGCTCGTGCCATCAGCGGGCAAGAGCGGCGCGTGACGTCACGGCGCGCGGGCCAATGGCGGCGCGAGCTCCCGCTCCCGAACCCGAGATCGCCCCCGCCTCTTCCCTCGGCGCGCACCTGGCCGCGGCCTGGTCAGTGCGCCCGCGACGACGCCGCGAGAGGGGCGCGTGTGTGTGTGCCGTGTGTGCTGCTTCTCCGCTGCCGCCTTCGCTTCTTCGCCACTAACCAGCACCACGCACCTCCAACCTCCGAGTTTGTTCCTTTAGTTTCTTCGCTGTTCCTCACCCGCCATGCGGTGACCATTCTGCCGCGTGAGGAAGCGTCGGTCGCGGTATGGAAGACGACAAATCGTAGTTTCGAGAAGAAAGACGACAGCACAACACACGTAGCAGCCTGTTTTGTCTGTGGAGCCAGCTGATCGCAGCGTGATGGTGAGTGGATGGGACGGTGCTGTGGTGGTGGAGGAGGCGGGGATTTCGCTTTGGTGCAGGGAGGCGAGTGGCATGCAGCTGTCAGAGAGATGGTCGACACATCAAATATCCTAATTCAACATGATCGTGTGTTCGAACTTCCATGTATTGGAAACATTAACATTACTGGCATTGTTAAATATGGAATACCCCTGTGGATTACAAAGCCAAACCACCACATAACTCAAATAACCCTCTGTATATCATTACTCACATCATTATCCAAGTTTACCTTAAGAAGAAAAATATCACTGCTCTTCACATTAACGCTCACAATATGTCAGAATCACGACACTGGAAGCGTTTCCTTTTTTTTAAAAAATTCCTATCACGTTTCTCAAAATATCTGTGAGAGAATTGCAAATACGTCGACATGAAAGCTAACGTGTTCCACGCACGATACTACTTCATAAGTTCTCATAGACAACCCAAACACCTGAACATCCCAATAGAAGAGGTAAAGTTTTCGCTTAAAATCTCGTTGGAGTAGTGGCATCTGCGTTGTCTGACAGATGAGCGGAGGCGGTCCCGAGTCAGGCGCGGCGCGGCGCGGCTGCTCTCACATGGCAGCCAGGCGCGGAGCAAGAGGCTGGCTCAGACGTCGGCGCGCCCGCGTGCATGTTCCCTTCCTTTCTTCAGTGTTTTTATTTTGCTAGGAAGTGATGTAGCGGTTATGATTCGTTATCACGAATTGAAAATTTGGCGTTGTTTCATCAAAATAAGGAACAATGTAATAAAATTAAATGCCATCTGTCACACAGGATTTCCGTGGCATTCAAGGCGGATACCATTCAAGAAAATTTAAAAAATAATCATAAATTAAATTATCTGTGCGTTGTTTCATCAAAATAGCGGAACAATGAAATACAACTTAAATGCCATCTGTCCAACAGGATCTCTCCGTGGCATTCAGGCGATAACATTCAAGCAAAATTTAAAATATAATCATACATTAAAATGATCTGGCGTTGTTTTCATTCAAAATAATGAACACATCTAATAAAACATAAATGCCCTCTGTCACACAGGATTCTCGTGGCATTCAAGCGATACATTCAAGAAAATTTTAAATATAATCATAAATTAAATTATCTGGCGTAATTTCATCAAAATAATGAAATTACGCCAGATAATTCAATTTCTATTTTTATTTTCTTTTATATTTTCGCCCTTTATTGATTGATTGTAGCTATTCTACGAGAATTCAGTCTGGCAGATGACGTTCAAGTTCATTTTCCTTTTGTGTCCGACTAGATTTTGGCCCAGTTTCGGTGGCTACGAATTCCGCATTGATCAATTGTCCACGGGCGCGCTGTATCTCATTCTAATCCTTCGGCCTTCTTTATCTCCTCGCGTCTCTTTCTGTCCCCATCCCTCTCTCACCCGCGCGTATTTGGAGTTATCTCGCAAATGTGTTATCAGATATTTTGCCATATGACACTGCTCGTGATCGAGGGAAAACAATTCCTCTGTCGTTTGCGTCATGCCCTAGAAATCAAAAAAATGTCATATAGAAAAATATCACTTTTCTATTCACTTGAAAAAGTGTTTCGAAATTTTATTTACAATATTTACAATAGCATGGTTTCTGTTTTAATGGAACGAATTGTTATATTATGAAATAAATTCTTTTCTTTTCTTATCGTGCATGAATATAAGTACGTCTCAAAGCATTTAGACCTTCAACGAGATTTTAAATGAAAGATATAGTTACTATTTCGAAATAATTTGACTATCGATCATTCCTATCAAATGAAACAGAGAAAGTTTTATTGAAAAATCACACCATATGCCAATATTGTACCGCTCAGTTCTTTCTCACAATCACTTTGTAGCTATAAAATGGAATTGGAAACAAAAAAGTGTATCTGCATGTAGTCATACTAATTAGCATACCTCGTAACTCCAGATTGAACAGTTTCGCAATGTAAAGAATAAACATAGCCGGGAAGCAGAATATTGGTTTCCTCTCTTGATGAATTACTTTTAAATACTGGGGAACTCAATTATTAAAGATGTGTGATTTGTTATTTAATTTTATTTATTACTCTTATTTCGTAATTATATTTTATCATACAGTAAACAGAAAATATAGGAGGGAATATGGAGTTACGAGGTTTGCTAATTACATGACAATAAGTTACGAGAAACAATACAAATATAACAGAACGCAGCTAAAGGAGATGGAATTCACTAAATAAGGAATCAGTGGCGAAACGTTCGGCGGGCCCAGGTAAAAGAGGGCCTATTTTTAGGTGATATTTTTATTATTCAAGTTATTACCACTACTTGTGTTTGGTATACACTTTTATAAAGAGAGCCCGGATCAAAGGCTTGCGGGCGGGCCCGCACTTATTTCGTTACGCTACTGCAAGGAACGTTTTGTTTTTGCCTACCGCACGCCCTTAACACACCTTTGTTGATTAGTTGTCAGAGAGTGTACATAAGAATGCGAACTGGGTGGCCTGGATGAACGACCTACATGTCTCATTCGCTTCTGCTTTCTCCGCGGCTGGCGCCTGAACGCTGACCGGCACCCGATCAGTGTCCGCTTTCAGTTACTCTCCTCCCGGACCAACCTACTGAGTCCCTTCTGTACTGTTCTATATGTACCAACTAAAAAAGTAAAAAGTATGCAACTCATATTCTATTATTTAGATCTCACATTCTAGTTTACATACTTTCATGGGGTAGCATGGAAGGTTATCAAACTACAGCAGGTGACGAATGTTTATTTAAATATTAATGAGAAAAGAGAATTAAGAAAAAGAAGTACCTAAACTGCTATTTTTATTAGTCACGCCACCTTCCACCCGTGAAAAATTAGATGTTTTATCTTTTTGAAGATTCGCTTCTTTTCCAAAATCACACTTGAAGTGTGATTGGTAGACAAGGAAAGCAACACAACACAAATGTCATCAGTTTTAGTTACGTGAAAAAAATGTTTCAAAACTGTATATTTTTATTTGTAAAAATGTCAAAACACTTATTCTGTGGGCATGAAATAAATGGTTCTGCTCAAAATGTAACTTTTCTCTTCAAAATGGGAATTGAATGTTTTAGATGTATGACATTCATTGTGCCCTGTCAATATGTATTCGTGATAATTCAAGCGGTGTCTAAATCTTAGAGTTGCATTTATTTCCGTAAAAAATCTCCTGTTGGGCTCACCTACTCATATTGGGCGGAAGTTCTTCTGCAAAAAGGGTCAAGCGTTCCGTCGTATTTGAGAACTAATCTTTAATACCTCCTAGGTTTTGAATGAAACTGCAAAATTAAGGTTCATCTAAATGTCTGTACGAGTAAAGAGGAAAAAATGTCTTTTCTCGGAAACGTATTATATACTTTTTTAATTTTGTAAAATCGATTAAATGAATGTATTATCACTAAAAAGCTATATCAGTTCATTTTCCGGTAAAGGTGTTGATACTGACTAAAATGATCAACTCCCACAAGACTTTCACTTAATTTTCACACCGTTCCTCCCATACACGCCCGCGCGATGGTTAGCTAAAGGTTAATCAAACTGTATCATATTTGAAGGTGGTTGCTAAGGTCATACAGACAAGGCCGCACCATTTCCGGTCTCAGCTTAAGGGACCAATACCGTGCCCCGAAGGTTGACTGCCCCTCGGAGACGCCTAATTGACTCCAGAAGGTCATTAGAGGGAGGTCAATTAGGAGAGGGAGAAACATTTCCATATCCTATTTATTGATTGAGTCAGTTGTCAAAATTTGTAACCTAAATAGGCAGATGACAGTGTATAAGTGTTGTCTCGAAAAGTCATCTGAAATTAAATTCGATCATCTCTTCCGCGGCGAATGAACTGCTAGATCCTCAACAGCAGTTTTGTATTAGCTGTGAAGAAATTCTAAATATTGTCTCAGCTGACCCTTCACCAAATTTTAGCGTAAATCACCATTTATAAATTGCCCATACTCTGGCGAATTCAAGTACACATGATATCGTTCTGCTTATCTGTTTCGTGATAAGGTACAAAGCCAGTGACTTTGTCTTTTATATCTGATAAAACCAGACATTATTTTACGACACCGACAACGTTAAGTGATAATTGAAGATTACATGAAAACGAAGCAGTAATTTGTATTTGGACGAATATTTCTTAAACAGAAGAAAATGGTAAAGGCAAAGAAACAACCAGAACTTACTGAATTATTCTGTTTGTTCTTCATTCCACGTCAATTAAGTCCAATTGTATATAACTATTTATAAATAGTAAAATTAAACATTTCAGTAAATTTTAGTATTTGCTGATTCTCATAATGAATTGTTTAAGTACGTTTTATAAATCTTTGAAAAGACAAAGAATTCAAGATTAGGACGAAGATTAGTTCACTTATGCATATCCACCCGTCTTGATCGTCCGTATACAGCACCAAAGCAGGACCTCCGAATTAAGTTGTCATCACACTAAGTGAGACTAGTAGATATATAGGAAACACTAAAAATATAAATATTCCGTTAAAAGGAATTAAAAAATCACTGGTCATACTGGTAATTCTCAATCATTCTACATCTCAATCAGCTCTTACGAGTTTAAATGACAAGCGTTATGACATCTTATTTATTGCTCAATGATTTATTTTTCCAATTCCAGCCTTAATGAAAGTATAAAAACAAAACGATCTTCTTCGAAATGTCACAACTTTACTTTCTGTTTCTATGAGGAAATATTTCCAGGTTTCTAGGGGTTGACGAACGCGATAGGTGAAAGTAGCTTTCTTCCTGAAACAGTTGCTCGCAAGTGCTACGAAATCATTGCTCCGGACCGAAAACATCGACGGTCTGAAACAAATTAGTTCACGCTTTGTATCACGTTACTTAATCATTACTTTCCCATAAAATTCATTGTGAACTATCTTTACGCAATTTCAAAAAATGTTAAACTAGACTATTTTCTATACACATTTCTTGACTTAACTCAAAAATGACGATTTTT